CCAGGTATTGATGGAATACCTATTGACATATTTTAATAAACAGATGTTTCCCTGGATGTACTCAACAAATTGTGCCAAAACTATGGAAGACAACCACTAGGCCAACTGACTGGAAGAAATCCATATTTATTCCCTTTCCAAAAAAAGGTGATGCAACAGACTGTACAAATTATCAAACAATATAGTTAATACCACATGCTAGCAAAATACTTTTAAAGATCATCCAGAAATTACTAGAACAGTACATTGACAGAGAACCACCAGAAATACAAGCCGTATTTAGAAGAGATCGAGGCACTAAAGACATTAAGTGTCAGATGAATCTTGACAGAAAGCAAAATGTACCAGAATGTCTATATGTATTTCATTGGACTATTGAAAGACATTTGATTGTGTGGATCACAACAAATTGTGGATAACCTTGAGGAAAATGGCAATCCCAGAGCACTTGACTGTGCTTATGCGATCTATATTTTGATTAAGAAGCAATACTCAGAACAGAGAAGAGAAACACTACATGGTTCAAAATCAGGAAAAGAGTGTATCAGAGATGCCTCCTGTCTTTCCATACTTTTTCAATCTATATACAGAACAAATCATTTGGGAAGCAGGGCTTTATGAGGAGGAATGTGGCATCAGAATTAGAGGCAGACTCATCAACAGCCTATGTTATGCAGATGACACAACCTTGCTTGCTAAATGGAGAAGGATCTGAAGCACTTGCTGCAGGAGGTCGAGAACTGTAGTCCTCAATATGGGTTGAAGCCGAATATCACGAAGACAAAGATTCTCACCACTGGGCCAATTGGCAGCATCATGATAGATGGAGAAGAGATTGAGGTTGATAACAATTACAACTTACTTGGCTCCATAATCATCTCTCTTAACACCAGCAGATAGAAAATCAAAAGATGCACTGCGTTGGGAAAATCTGCAGTCCATGACCTCTCCAAAGTGCTGAAAAGCCAGTGTCAGTCTAGAGCCTGAGGTGTGCCTAATCCACGCCATGGTCTTCACAATTACTTACTCTGTTATCAGAGAACTGGACACTGACTAAGGATGACAGAATAGATGTATTCAAATTATGATGCTGGAGAAGATTCTTGAATATAGTATGGACTGCCAAGAAAACAAATAAGTCTGTCTTGGATGAGGTGAAACCAAATTTCTCCTTGAAAGTTAGGATTTTGACGTTCCATCAAACATACTTTAGTCATGTGGCTAGGAGAGACAAGTCCTTGGAGAAGACATCAAGCTTGGACGTGTGGAAGGACAAAACAGAAAAGGAAGACCCTGGGTGAGATGGATTGATATAGTAACTGGGAAAATGGGGTTTGATGTGTCAGAATTAATAAGACTTGCTCAGGACAGGGAAGACTTAAGAGCTACTGTACATAGGGTAAGTGTGGGTCATAAGCA